CCCTCCAGCTCTTCTCCGTGGATCCAAACCATCTTGGTGCTGCTGCCAAGAGAATCTCTTCCCTGATTTGCTGCCACACAGAACAGCTGGCCAAGATCCTTATTACAGTACACTTACGCTTAAGACATACCGATGTCTGTAGTCTAGACTCTGTTTCCCCACTCCCCTCCTTAATTTTGGGGGCAGCTTTTTTCATTTACTAGAACATGAACTGAAGACATGAGGTTAACCTTTTATTATCAAGTATTAAATTCTACCTTTTCTGAGGTACTGTTATGACTTTAAAGCTATCACTTAGAAATCTACTGACAGCTTTGAAAGAACACAATGAGATTAAAATAAGGCTTTATGTACAAAATGTTCAATTTGAAGATGAATGTTCTGTGCATATTTTTGTTTGAAAAGATGAAATGAACAAAAACAACTACGAAAATTAAGATCAACTTGCTCAACGTTATCTATCTGGATTACACTCAGCCAAATGTTGATATCATCTTGGATAAAAATGTAAACATGACAAAGTTTGTTTTTCCATCAATAAGTCTTATTTTAAAAAAAAGCTTTGAATTGCTACCAATGAGAAACAGTTTTTAATTTTAAGCTGGGTCGGCAAACTTTTCTGTGAAGAAACAGTAAATATTTTTAAGCTTTGTGGGACACATATGGTCTCTGTTGCATATTCTTCTTTGATGGTTGATTTTTTAATATCCCTTAAAATATGTAAAAACCATTCTTAGCCTGTGACTGCGAAAAACAGGCTGCAGGCACATGTGGCCTATGGGCAACAGTTTGTCGACCCCTGATTTTGAGAAAAGTGAATCCAAGGGGAAAAAAATGCAATGTTACCAAATAAAACACCTAAAAGTGCTCCGGTGCAAGGAGGCTGCAACAATAACCAGCACAGCACTATTAACATGGTTTCATTAGCTATTTTGCACATCGAAGGAGTTTTAATGACAGGATGCCCTTTGATCTCCTAACCTGAAACTGTCGACACAGAAAGGGCAAAGGACAGCTACAGTATGCTGAGCTACCCCTGCACTTACTCCTACAGCACTCTGAATCACTGCATGAGCATTTACCATTTCCCTGAACAGAACTGGCTAATCAAAGCGGGGACATTTCACTTTCTCCACATAAAAGCCTATGTGCAAAATCTAATTCCTTTCTAGAAAAGGTGGTGACAAGTTTATGAAAATGGTCATACTGATCAGAAATAGTAGCAACTTGATTGTGAAAAGTGACACAGATTTGCATTTGGGGTTCACTGGGGGCTCTGCTACAACCATCCATTTGATCTTGACAACATCGACTTAACCTTAGCTTTCTTATTTATAAAATTAGGGCCGGAGCATAAAGTAGATAATCTTTAAGACTCTTTCTGCTGTCAAACTATGACTACACTAAAATGAAACCACTCAGGAAGTACCCTAACAGGAAGACGGTGGGGGGGGGGGGGGGGGACAGCAGGGGAAAGACAGCAAAGGGAAGAGGCTTAGGCTGTCCTGGTAGAGGACAGGCCTTGGTTTTCTTTTTCTTCTACCAGCACCATATTCAGTACAGGCCATTCCAGGATGTCAACCTGCCCTTGTATCAGTATTAAAAGGCACCCATATCCCATAGAAAAGATAATAAAAGCTAACTGTACAGCCGTTTCCTAGCTGTCTTAATGTTACATTTTATAGACATTTAATTACACATTAATTATGACGAGGTAAAAGGTTTGGAGAAACCTATCAAAAAAATTTTTTTTCAGTTCTCAAGTATGAATACCGAAAGAGCAAAACGGAAATGAGGGGAGCCAGGACATCCGAGAAGACAGCAGCACCTTAGAAAAGTAAGAAGAGAGTACCTGCAAGACAACCGCATCTGTAATGAAAATACCTAATGGTCTCCTCCCTTTCATGACTGCAGAAGCCCTATTAAAAGTGTCTAAAGATGGCAAGATGCCTTTTTTAAAACTACTGAAAGTGTGACAAACCAAAATTGAGTGTTAAAAGGTACCCTCCTGAGAAAAAACAGGCCCTGGGCACACGTATCTACCAAAACACACACACACACACATACACACACACTCACTCGAACCCCAGGTGGTAAGCAATGGGTCTCTGTGACGTGGACCTTATCAAGTTTTGTCAGCAATGCTGTAGCAGGCAAAGTCCAGTCATAACAGCCCAGGAACTTACACACTTAGGGACTTCAAAAACTCAACACTGGGAGGAGATGGCTCACTAGCTCTACTAACCTCAGCGACTTCAGATCCCTGGGGGTGGGATGGGGTGCGGAGAGAGTGGGATGTTGCGGCTACAGATGTGGACGCTCCAAGCCTATGTTTGCAGTCAGTGGAAAGTGTGTGGAAATTTTTACTAGGATGGTACTAACGCTCACCTTTCTTTCCTAACTTACTTCCAACTACAAAGCATTAGGTGTCAGGTATATAAATTGTTCTACTGTTCAGAGGCAGCGTGCTGCCACTTCCTGTCGGGGCTCTGCGGCTGGACAAGAAGCATGGAGGGTTTCCCCTTCCTCATGTCAACCGAAAACGCAGCTCACAGCCTCTTTTTACCACATCCACCCCACAGAAAATGCAAAGACTAAGATTATTCGTGAGATTCACCTCATTTAACTGTCTACCACCTGTTCTAAACAGTTCCAGGACCCTGTTTTTCATGCCTTAATAGCTGCAACCCTCTGCTGAACTGAATTTCAATTAAAAAACAAAATCCATGCAAGATTCTCATCCTTCAGAATAAAAAGTAATTCTTAAAAGCTACTATTGTAAACGGAAGTAGTCCCCCTCACAAGAAATGGGGGACAAAAATTAAGGCAAAAAGGGGAAAACTAATAAAACTATTACGAACAAGCAAAGGTCATCCAAGGAGCTTAACAGAAAGAGCATCTGTAGGACTCCCGCACTTTCAAAGCAGGAGAATGCTTCTGGGAGGGTCGCACATGGAACGAACAAAAGACTACCCACTCGGGCTGTCAGAAGTTGTCGTTTACCAACTGGACTGCTGCATGCATTCAACAACATAGGACGGGCTCTGGCCGGGTAGCTCAGTTGGTTTGAGCGTTGTCCCAATACTGAAAGGTTACAGGTTCCATCCTTGGTCAGGGCATATACAGGAGCCAACCAGTGAATGCCCAAATGGGTGGAACTACAAACTGATGTTCTTTCTGTTTCTCTTTCTTCCTCTCTCTCACTAAAATCAATAAATTAAAGCAAATAAACAAACAAACAACAACTACAAAAAACAACGTAAAAGGGTTACTCAGGGTTTTGCGATTAGTACCAACATCAAAATTAATGCCCTTTAGTTGCTGTAACAGCTCCAACCAAATCTCTAAGGAATATACTTGAGACATGACATTTAAAATCTGCTTCCTCAGAAAAGAAAAAGTCCCACTCAAGACTGCCTGCCAAGAACTTGCAACTCAAACTTCCCTAAGCCTAGACATCAAAACACCCGGGAGGTTTCAGACCACTCAGTCCATATGGAAGAGGCCAGAACAAACCAACCAACCATTATCCTAATACTCGATTTGAAAACCACCCTACAACCAAATATTCTTTTTTTAAAATGATAAATTATCCTTCAAACATACAAATAATCAAATACACTTATTACCGTTGTACTAGCTCCCTACAATAATCTCCAAAATTCATGGTGAAATAGGACATAAGAACAATTTGAAAGATGCTTAAGTGAGCTTCTCTTAGCAGCCATAAACACCACCCAGACAACGAAAAGCTAAGATTCTTAAGGTACTTAAGTAACTGTCGCTATTTAACAAGGAAAATAATGTTGTATAGGCAGTGTAAAACCAGCTCTGATTTCATCTTCAGTTTATAGTGAGAGAATTTGTTACCTATACAGTCTTCCAGTACAAAAGGAGGACAGCTCTCAGCCAAGATCAGAAAACACTGAATCAATGGAAAGTATTGTATGTTGTGATTCACTGAGCAACTAATAATTAAAACTAAAGCATCATATACAGGGAGGCAGGGAGACTCCTCAGCTAAGTTACTGAACATTCAAGCCCAAGAATTTTAAAAATTGAAAAGTGTTGCTTTGCAGGAGATGGTGGTTAAGGAGTCATATTTTCCTGACCACACCATTCCCCAAAGTCACTAATTCTCTTAATACGGGTAACACTCACAGAACAATTTATTGCTCCATAGGCACCATCCTATAGTTAGTCACTCTTTCTCTTTTTCCTGCACTTGATTTAAAAAGGAAGTAAGGAGAGAAAATGGTAACAGTGCTCCCTGTTACTGAAGAAAGTACTGCTTTCCATTTCCTCTCCTTTTGCCACCTTCTCTGTCTTCACTGCTCAGCCTCGGTACTGTATATCCTGCTTCCTTTTTCCGTTTTTATCTCACACCCAGCTCTCCTTTACTTTCTCCACCAAGTACCCTCATTGTATCCTCTGGTCCCCTGAACTCCTCTCCCACCTACAGTTTCCTTCTGCCCCCTACTATGACATCTGTCAAGACCTCTTATGCCTCTCATCCCTCACCTCCTGATGACTTATTCCCCTGAATTCCCTTCCCATTGCTGTATTCTCACCACTCTTGTCCCTTGTGTCCTCTGTTCCTTTACTTCATGTCCCTCCCATTACTCCAACCTTTCATTTCCCCCTTACATTTCCTTCCTTTTTCCTGTCTTTTAATCCATTTTACACCCACTATGCCTTTCTCTCTCACCGTGAGATTTCTTGTGCTCTCCCCTGCCACACACTTTGTCCCTCTAAGACGCTTCCCTGTCACCTCCCAACCCTCTCATTTCCCCTAACACCCCTAGTCCTTGTTCCTCCGGTTCCCCTTCCCCGTCCTTTGCCCCCTCGCATCTCCGCCCGCTCCTCTCCCTCACGCCTTTACCCTCTCCCACTGCCCTCGCCGTCCCGCCGTCCCCGGGGTCCCATCCCCGGGGCCCCCAAGGCCCCCTTGCACCCGCCCCCTATTCACTCCTAGTCGCTGTCCGGGGCCCCTCCCTCACCGATGGTGGAGATGAAGGTGGTGTTGAAGGCGTCCTCGGAAAAGCGGAAAAGGAGGCAGGTCTTGCCCACCCCCGAATCGCCGATCAGCAGCAGCTTGAACAGATAATCGTACGTCTTCGCCATCTTCTCGCTCCGGCCCTCTGACCGGGGAGCGAGAGCAGCGGCGGAGCGAGGAGGGGAGGGGGCCACGGACTGGGGGGCGTGCCCGCCCAGCCGCTGCTCTTAGCCCCGCCTTCACCCCGCCCCTTCCCTTACAGAAGGCCTGCGCGCCCCGCCCGGCCAATCCGCGGGGGTTTTGTCATCACCGCCCTGCGCTCCCGGGGCTTCATGGGATTTGTAGTTCTTCGGGGGGGGACTTTCGGGTGTGCCTGGCGCCGGCTGTTTGGTCTGCCCCAGAGAATAAAAGATCCCTGTGGGCGGGGTGACCAGGTGGACTAGGCGTTTACATCCCAGCTAGCAAGGAAGGCTAGGTTTCAAACTCTGCTTGTCGTGCCGCAGGTACTTCGCCATTTCTTTGTGTGCAGGCTCCTTTCAAATACAAGACCTCGGAATCTTGAGTCCCGCGGTTCCTGCTTGTCTTCCGCCGGGACCCAAAGCTGAGAGGCTTTCTTTCCAAATCGTTGGTGTGGCGCAGCCTGTAGATTATCTGCAGTGCACTATCGGGCTTCTCCTTCAGTTTCTGCCCTGAACCTCCTCAAAGCCCCCCTCCAGCAACCCCTAAGTTACAAAGCTGTAAAAGAATGATTGCTCTACTAACCACATTCCTATTCTCTTCTTCAGGCCTGCAGACCATAGCCAAATATGATGGGTATTTTAGAGGATCTGTTTTATCAGGGGTATCCAACCCGCGGCATAGACTATGCAGACTGCTCCCCTGCTCCCGCAGGAGGATGGATTAAAGAAACAAAACAAAACTGGAATTGAAAACATTAAGGGTGTGCTACAGGTCTGTACCCTTAAAAATTGCAAGCAGCATGTGAGGCAGGAATTATAACCATGGGAATCTAGAGGCAGTTGAATTTTTGTCTTGGTTTAGCTACTTAACTGCACACAGGCAGGTCGTCTGCACCTTGGCTTTTCTTGTCTGTAAAATGGGAATAAAACAAGCTGTTTCGTAGGATTGTAGGGAAAATGAAATGAGACACTGAATGTGAAAGCACTTCGAAATTCATAAGGCATTGTATAAATGTTAATAGTGATGGTTACCTTCTTCAACCCTTCAAGGCAGGCTCTCACTTAAAGGATGACTAATGCAGGGGGGAAAATTCCCAATTTAACCTTTTATATCTTACACTACTCTTTATTTTTGTAGAAGTACTACTTGTTCAGGCCTCTTTCATTTGCTGGCAGAAACCCAACCAGACCAAGCTGTCTGAAAGGAGTGTTCACTGGCTCAGATAAAGCCGAAGGACAAGTAAATAATAAGGAGGTCTGGGACCAGAAGCCCCACCCAGACAGAGGCTCCCTGTCTCTCATCTCTTCTTCACCCTTCGCAGTTTTAATTCTAACATGTCAAATACCAACAGATAAGAACCATGTGAACAAAAGCTCTTTAGAATCTTAATTATTTTTTAAGAGGATAAAGGGGTCTTGAGGCCAAAATATTTGAGAAACATTGGCCTAGGCATTTCCTTAGATCTAAGGAAACACCTTCTAGAGGTTGGAGGAGGTCATTAAGGGACCCACTGGACTCAACCATTAGTGGAATAAGGAAAAAACTTTCTCACTTTTCTGCCACCTCATGAGGAGGGATCCTGCCTCCTGCCACAGGCTGAGCCTCCTTGCCCCAGCTAGTTCTTGGGCAAGTCTGTGAACTTGGCATTAGCCAAGGCTGAACAAGTGTGGACAGCTCAGTTCTACACCTTCCTCTTCATTCTGGAAAAGAAGAAAAAATCCGCAAAAACCAGTGGGATCTTCTTTCTTTTATAAAATGTGCACTAATTAAAGTAACTTTTAGTCCCACTATCTGCATGCAACTGTTGGCATTCTCTTTGTGTGTGAATAAGAACATGCCGATGTGGTAAAGAACTTAAGTTCAGAAGAGAAGTTATAGTTAGGAATGTTAAAGTCCCTAAGTTTCCTTAAGGGAATTTCTTAATGGGAAATTTTTAAAATTCCATTTTATTTTCACTTCCCCAGTTTTTGTCTACTACCAAGTGTATATAACATTGGTACTTTCTAGCAGGTAACTATGTGCACCATTGCTGAACCATCCAAGTATTTTGATATATTAATATTACTTCAAGAAAAATCCAATTTTTCTTTATGCATTATTAATTTTTATATTTTGTATAAAATATAAAAATTAAGTAACATAATATGTTTCTTAGATATGTGATTTTGGTGGTAGTAGCAGTGTTATTGAATCAAGGCATTTTGCTCAAAGGACTAGACAATATATTTGTAGATCTGAGAGTACCACAGGTAACAGTTGGCTGTTTGCCACTTTCTCCAAGTGGCATCTACAGATAATTTTTTAAAGGAAATCACATCACTACTCTTTTGCCAGTTACCCAAACCCACTCTTGAAATGCTACATCTCTGCAGAGCACTAGGCAGACCGGCACATTCCATGTGACCCTGAAAACGTTTATTGAACCTTTTGCATGTGGCAGCTTGACTTACAGAAATCTAGACATCCAAGAAGTTTATCCTCTTTGGTTTTTGCCAAGCCAGCACTCTTTCTTCCTGCTTTTGGGAAGCTGCTCCTCCCCCACTGGTGACTGTGAATCATGGTACTTTACTCCTCCAGCCACAGAGATGGGCATATGACCAGGCTGGGTACATTTGAGTTCTTTTTTGTGAATTTTCTAATGATACTGAAAGGAAGTCTGTCTGGTGTGAGGTCTGTGTGAACTCTTGGTTTTGACCAGAGCTCTAGTTCATTTTTCTGTATTCTCTTGTTGCTGCCCTTCTCAATAGATTTAATTTGTCATTGGGCTAGCTTTCCTTGTGGTAGCAAGCGGGACTGCCATGTTGCACAATTCCAAAGGCATTATTCACTTCTTACAGTAGTTTATTCATCTTAACAGTCAAAGACCTCCAAGAATCTATACTCATATTCTTGAGAGTCTGTGTGTTCTCTAGGAAAACTTTCAAATTAATTCAAGCATTCTTTAACTGGTTTAAATTCCTCTGTGAAACTTGATTGCAAGAAATGTCACCTTTCTTAATTGCTTAAATGAAATTCTATTTGGCTGAGACTCCTTCTCGTCAAAGGCTGACACATTTGGTAGTAATCATTATTGGGACTTTTTCTCCCCTTAATTTTATCCTACAAGAATCCAGGTGCTTATGTGGTCTTGAAAAATTAGGGGCACAGCATCCTCTGCCTGTCAGTCTGCACCCATCCATATTGATGCTTCTGTCCAACCACTTCTGAGTTCTGGTTCTCTGCCAGCTGTTGAGCACAGCTGTCCCGGTGGGCTACAAAGATGTCCTTCATGATGATTATTTTCACCGACTGATGACTCAGCCATTGAATAAGTTGTCTGTTATCTAATAATAGTTTGTGTACTTCTTTGTCTTCTCCCTTAAAACTTGAGCTGATTGAATAAAGGGACATTGCTAATTTCTCACTTTGTTCCCAGAATACCTAGCATGATGCCTTACACATAGTAGGTGCTCATTTGAGTTGTTGAATGAGCAAACATCTGACCATCATGCCAGCAGTCTAGGTATTTTAAAAACATCTGGGACACCTTCAGTTTATTATTTGCTGCACTATCTAGGTTTTTTTTTGGCCTCACCAATACTCTTTTGGTTGTATTCTAAGCCATGTATGTACGTTATTCATTCTCTAAGTATACTATTCATTGTTGTGTTTAAGAAATTAGTGTGATTATATATTATTTATTTAGCTTGTCAAGATCATATTGAATAATAACTCCTCAAAAATACCAACTTCTCTTTATCACTTACATGTCATCAAAAATATGCTATTTGTTTAGTGATATTCCAGTGGGATAATTCTATAATTATTTTTATCAGAGAGGGGCTAACTATACTCTTTCTACCCACTGATGTTTCCTGAACAATCACAGAGAATATTGTCTACTCAAATATTCATTAAGCTCACACTATAAAACCAATGAAGCAAGGCAACCTGGAGAATACAAAGAGATCTATCATATGTATGGTCCCTGCCCTAAGTTTATTTCCCAGCTAATCTAGGAGAGGATGCATACGTGAAAAGTTTAATGATCAGCAGGAGGCAGATATTTGGCTGGTACACACTTCATTTATTCTGATGGGTCCGGTGTCTATTCTGATTGGTTGGTTTTAATTAAGATTGATTAGGCATTCATTCTGGTTCGGTGTCCATTTTGATTATTTGCATATACATTCTGATTGGTCACACTCCCAATCTGATTGGTTAAATGTTCATGCAAAACTGATACTAAAATATTTTGCATATTACAACTGGATGCAAAAGTTAAATAAAAATTATATTATAATCTAAAAACTTGCTACATGAAAGTACAGTATCTTCTTGATCAACAAATCTGTATAAAGGTAGCTTCTTAGAACAAAGTCAGCAAGGTGTAGAGGGGATGAGTAGACAGTCCGCATCCCTCAGGCCTGGGTTCATGAACATAATTGAATGGAAGACCATCTATGTCATGGGCCCCTAGAAATAGGCAAGCGCCATGGTCAATGACCAGATGAAGGCAAAACTCTTTTCTTCAGAGTTGAGAGCAGATACCTAATCTCCTAGAATAGACAAGAAGCCACCCAAGTTGCAAATATTCTGGGGGGCTCCATTTCTAAATAGGGTTTAAACCACAGAAAGAGGAGGTACAGCTTAGCTCTCATAGAGAGTTGGCTCAGTATTTTACTCTACTAAAGGGGGATGGGAAGGACCCATTCTTTTACCTCTTGTATTATTTCTTTCTCTGATAATAAAGTTTTTGACACTAAAACATGTTAGTAAAATTACTTCCTTTCATTAACCTCGGTGTTGCTATGTAAGATTGGTGTCAGATTGACCATATGCAGTAAGTACTAGGAATTTTGAGTGCAGTTTCTTAATAAGCTTGAGTGATTAAAGAAAGACTTTCGGGGCCAACTATAAAATGAACTCTGATCCAATGGCAAAGTTAAGACAAACCAAAACTTACAATCAGCATCATAACAGGTACTGGGAAACTTATGGTAGCAAATAATAGGACACTAAATGGCTTAATTAATAAAAAATATTTATTTAAT